TTCCTCAACTCAAATTACTCTGTCCTTTTCATACACTGTCCTTACAGTTTTCAATGTCTCTTCCCATTTCCATTTACCCATCCTTCCCCACCACCAACAATAATGCAATTTCAAAATCACAATCCGCCTCTGGGTTGGCCCCTTTCTTCCCAATTGGCCTCAATCCTTCCTCCCACTCATTTTCCCCCATGGCAATTTTCAAATCACAATTGCCCATTCACATTTCGAATTGACCCCTCTCCAAATTTGCCCATACTTCCCCCACTCATTTTCCCCCATGGCAATTTCAAAATCACAATTGCCCATCCACAATTCGAATTGACCCCTCTCTTCTCAATTGGCCCCAATCCTTCTCCAACTCATTTTCCCCCATGCACAATTTCAAAATCACAATTACCTATCCACATTTCGAATTGACCCCTCTCTTCTCAATTAGCCCCAATCCTACTCCCTACTCATTTCATTTTCCCCAATGCCAATTTCCAATTCGCAATTGACCCCCAACCCTCTCCCAATTAATTTACACCGTCTTTCCTCCATCAACACTCCCCCATGACAATTTTCAAACCAAAGTTGCACTACCATCCTTTACCCGCAATCAACCATTTCATTCCCCCATTCAAACTCTCTCATCAAATGACAATTTACCAGATGCAATTCTTTGTTTTTTTCAGTTCGTTTATTATTTTTTTTGCACCATTTTACTTGATCCTTTTAAATATGTTTATCTCTTTGAGTAAAAAACTTTTATTTCGATACATTCCATGACTATGTTCTCTTTTTTTATTAATTAGTTGTCACTTTTGAAGTTGTTAATTTTTGAAGAACATAATCTGTACGTTTATTGCGTGTTTATATTTTTTTGTCAAGGTTGCTATCAAATTTTGCTGATCGTTTTTATTTTTATTGTGTATATTTTTAGTAAATATTGTAAAACTAGACTAAAAATTATTTATTTTTGTCAATTTACTGGAGAATGTATATTTAAAGTCTTTAAAATTCATTTTTTTTTTGCTTTGTTGTGTTTTTTGTTTTTATATCATATTTACTTTGAATATTTAATTGTAATAGTTGAAAATTAAGTCAATGATTAAATTTTTTAATAATGTTTTAAATGTTTCAATTAACTATATTAAATTGTTATTACATTTTCATTACAAATTTAATAATAGAAGATTATTTTAGAGTAAAAATGTATTATGAAAGCATGGAAACATTATGTGACAGCGTGTAATTAAACTTTCTACTACTACTATCTCATAAAATATAACTGAAGTTCAAATTTCAATCTTTTGCTTTTCGAATTGGAATTTTTCAAACACTCTTCCTGATGGATGGATTCTCCCAAGATTTTTAATTCACACACAGTCCTCTTTGCACACTGTCCTCAATTTCAAATGCCCCCATTTCCAATTTACCCATTCTTCCCCGCATCCATAATGGCAATTTTCAAATCAACACAATCGCCTTTGGGTTGGCCCCTCTTCTCCAATTTCCTCACCCCCTTTCCCCACTCATTTTCCCCCATCGCAATTTCCCCACTCTTTCCCATTTCCAATTGCCCATTCTTTCCCAGCCCGCCACAATGGCAATTTCAAATCACGATCACCTTTGTGGTTGGCCCAAATTGGCCCCTTTCCCCACCCATTTCTCCATCGCAATTTCCCCACTCTTTCCCATTTCCAATTTACCCATTCTTTCCCAGCCCACACCCAGAATGGCAATTTTCAAATCACCTTTGTGGGTGGCCCATTTTGCCACTTTGCCTACTCATTTTCCAAATTGCCCATCTTTCCCATTACCATTCTTTATCACTAAAAAGTGTGTATTGTATACTGGCGCTCAACATATTATGCAGAATCAGACCCAATAGCAAAATCAAAATTCTTGTCTAACAGAATAGAATAGCAATATGATCCAACAATTAGTTATCTGTAAAAAGAATGCACTTGAATGAGTTGTGGTCAACGACTTGTTTTATAGTAAAAGCTATTTGCAGCTATGAAAGAGAGAATGTGGGGATTTTCTCTCATTATGATTCTTGCCAAGCAAACTATCAACTAGGTTATCCTTTATGCGTTAGGTCAATTGACTACTAGTAGTGGTTGGTGTTTTGTTTGTCAAACCTATTTGGGTAGATTCTTTTAATAAATCCATATGATCATTGTGCATTTGCTACTAAATAGACTATCGACGATATATAAATACTATATGAAACAAAGTCTAGGATATGAATAGCTCCACTAACATATGGGATAGTTTTCGTGTGCTAGTATAAAACAACTTGATGGAAGAGAAGACTTATGAAAAATGGACAGACAATATACTGTAGTTCAAACAACCCATGTCATTCTAGTAACACTATCTAAGCAATATTCAACTTGAGAATGCACAATGAAGTTACTCCTATTTATGTCACTTGCCTTGTATATGTCTTCTTCAGTAGTTAAAACTTGTCTTTGATTCACAAATCAGCAAATTGTCTAAAGTGCATTCTTACGTAGGCATGATGTAAAGGTCTGTAAGAGTGAGATCGTTTTTTCCAACTTCTTACCAATCTGAGTTTCCATACTACAAAACAAGTATCAGTTTGTTTTTCAATCATCATAAAAAATACTCTTTTGTCTTTCTATTTGCTGAAAAAAGGAAAGGGTAATGAGTCAACAAATTGATAGTGTACTACAATTCTTTAGTCTTGTGTCTGGCAATCTATATATACTGTACTTTTTATATGGATTTTTCGTGCTTCTTGAAATAACTACCTTTACACCATCAAAGTCATTTCTTTTATCATCTGAAACAATCTCTTCCCAGCGCAAGTTGACCAGGTTTTCTTCGTTCGTTCGTAGAGCTGTTTCCATCTGACCTTGGTGTCGAAGAAAATTGATAAACTTGAGTGTACACACTTTGGGAAATGTTTTCTTTTTCTTCTTGTTGTGGACTGTCAAGTCTACTGCTTTCTCTTTTTCTTTATACCTTGGTTTCCTTGGAAAGTTTCAAAGAGCTACGAAGTAAACCTGCTCTCTCTCCTTTTTGGTTACATGATACTTGATTGCTGTATATATATATATATATATATATATATTGTATGTATGTATGTATGTATTTATGTTTAGAGCGATATAGTCTTGACACCTTGTTTTTCAGTTTAAAAGAAACAAAAATTGAGTCATTGATGATAAGATGTATATCTTATAGTTTAGCAATTGTTGAAAACACTCTAAATATTTTCGAGTCAAACGGAAAGGTAGTTGGAACAACGAATTTCAGAGTCTCTATGGAAAAAAAAGACAATGAAATTTGATAAACAATTGGCAATGTTGGAATTCGTGAAATGTATGGACCAGTCCATTCCCAAACGAATAAGAATATGCGAGTAGTAAATAGAAAGCTTTATGAATAAATGGATGGGATGTAACTTTATGTAGTTTTCATTTGTGAAAGGCCTACTGAAAGATATTTATTGGAATCCTTTTATCCGGAATGAGGTAAAGTAAGATCGTTGGCAACTTTAAACGAAACAATAATTATGGTACTTCTTATCCTATTGCCAATTACCAAAAGACTGCTAGTCAGTTGAAAAAAGTCCATATCAAATATACAACACCTCAAAATGACTACTGTTTGACAATCAAACCCTTTCCAAATTTTGCAAGGTTTTCTTATCTTTTCAAGGAAACAAAAAACCATTTTACCTTTTATATTCCAAAGTTTAAACTATTTCGCAGTTGTACGAGACTGAAATTTACAATGGACACAAAGTTATGAAACAGTATCAGTGGATCTCCTAGGACATGAAAAAGTATACGTTGACTTTGTCAACGTTCATAAAATCGTTTTCTTTGTTAAGGCATACAAATAAGTACCTTCAAGTAGGTATTTCAAACATATTTTAACAGGAAACAATTGTGCTCAAAATTCGAATTTTTGAGACAAAACAGAGGTATCATTTATCGAAGGAAATTTTGCAAAAAAAGAATGACAGCTAGTGTTTCTCTGTTCATAAAGGTGTAGAACCATACATAAAATGGTGCGAAAATGGAAAAATAACACTTGAGCTTGTTTTGGAAAACTCCATACAATAAAACTAATCGTTCAATAAATGTAAGTTTTATCTATCACCATCTCATGGATCATTTCAACCGTCTCTCTTGATATCTTGTTACATTTGAAATAGCTTCCTTGAAGAAAAGTTTTGTAAAAAGTGGAAAAAAGAGTGCGACACCAACTTTGACTCGAATGACGTTATTCATATTTTTTTTTTTACCTTTTCCATTTTCTCATAAGTATATAGTTTTTTGCGTTCTTTTTCACTCGCTCATTTTTGCACAGAGTTTTCTCATCTTCTAAAAGTCAAAACGCTTCATCTCCTTATAAGAGTCAACTCATATTCCCAAGTTTTGTTTCTTCCATAGTCTTGAGCCTATAATCCAACACTATTGTTTTTATATAGCCTTTTTTCAATCCATTTTCATATTCGAGCAACAAAATTGAGCTTTGTAAATACAACATACGCTGCAGCAGGCTTGTATATTCTTCTCTCAACGAAGCAAACACAGACGTTCTTTTCTAGTTTTTCTTTTGAACTTTTCAAAAAGTTTCCTGTAGACCTATGGTGGTGAGATCTCTTTCACCGGTGATGTCTTTCAGCAATCCAACGTCTATTGTTGTGCATATTACGTTAAACCAGACAGTAGTAAACAATAAATAAATCAAGAATATGCAGAAACTTTCTCCATTTATTGTTTGACAGAAACTATTGGAGATAGTTTTCAACTATTTCAATGTTATTCTCGCTTGTGTTTTCAAGTATCTGATGTCAGTAACTGTAAATCGATTGGAAGAAATGTTGAACAATTCCTAAAAATTTTTCTGGGTCTCACCGGTGATGTATCTACTTTGTCTTCTTCGATTGACTCCAACATACATATTCGTTTAACGTGTATACCTCTTCATAAAACTCAAACAGCATTGCTATGGCATGAACAGGATCTTTTTTTAACCATTCCTTGACTTTTAAAAGGCAAAGTAGTACCTAATAGAACCTACATTCCAAGACTTGTGCTTCCAAACAAAAATCCAACAGAGTCGCTCTAAAACTAGTCAATAGGTTCTTGGACAGATTGTTCAAAGCACGTCGAGACGCATTCATAAAAGTGTGAAGAGTCAAATGGTCGAAATAAATAAATGTGACGATACAGAATAAACAGATGGGCTTGGAGAAAGAATCGTCGAGGAGGAGTCTTGTCATTTGAAAGAGTAGGTTTCTTGGTGATCCATCAATGTTTTTTGTACAACGTCCAACCTGGTTTGCGTCTCTTCTTGAAAAGCTGGGACAGTAGCTACAACATTAGGTTGGGTATTATACGAGGAAAAAGTCTCCTTGATTACTGCTAGACCTTTGTGGATAATCTCTCCATTGTTATCGGTAATAAATGTACAAGTTGTTTTTGGCTTTACACGTCATCTTTTTGCAACGTCTTGAATGTTGGTCTCTGTGTTTTCAAGAAACTGAGTGAATCACAAAATATTTTTACAAGACAACGTGAGGTGTATATCCATTTCTGTGGAGTGTTGATATTACCTTGGGAACCAGAAAAGAAAACCAAAAAAGGATTTCATCTATTCTCCCAAAAAAAGAGACAGAAAGATTGATTGGTTTTACAATGAAACAGTCAGTTCCCAAAAAAGGATAAAAAAAGCTGCAACACTATGTTCAACCAGCTGTATTGCTTTCAACAGACTCGACACAACCAATTGGTAACGAGTCTCCGATATGGATGACAACACTCTCTCAAACTATAGGAGAGAATGGGCAAGCAATGTCATCAAGGTTTTGGGTAAACATGGGAAAAGACTGTCGTTTAACTTGATGATGGGTAAGAATCAACAAGGCAGGGAATTCTACAGTAATAGCAATCTAATGAGAAACCAATGCCAAGTCTTGTTGTCTCATCCAAAAAGCAACCAACAAAGATTGACAAATTTGCAGAGAGTTGGTCTTCAAAGACGTTATTGAAGCTTCTATTGTATTTGATCGTAAAGGATTTTCCATGACATAGTTGCAAAGAAGAAAAGGCGTCATAAAGCGAATTCACTTTTTTTTCGTTGCAAGTGATTTCTTGGATCTGGTAATTGAGAATAGTCAACCAACATCATGAATTGATATTTGAGTTTAGAAAAGGAGATATCAAGTTGTTAAGGAATATGTAAAGGTGATTTCGTGGAGACTTGTCAAAAGTCTCACAAATGTAGGGGTACAATACGCTTATTGTATGGATAATTTGAGGGAATAGTAAGGGAATTTTGTCCCGATGTAGGGGCAGTGTTTGGAGAGTGAAACATACTTTTATAAGTATCATTTGAAGACAATCTAGTAAAACCAAACCTATCTCCAAAGCTGTAGTTGCTGCACTTTTTCGTACAGACTTTAACAAGCCCTTATCGTTGACTAGAACACAGTTCTTGGCTATGGATAAAACTGTACTCCAATCCTTCAAGTATGGTTATGCTTCAACAGGTAAACAAAAAGTTTTCAAGGGTTCTTTTCTTGTGTTTCTTGGGTGTGTTTGTCTCGAGGTCTCGTAAAGACTTGAGCTTTGAAAAGGACAACTTTTCTTTGACCTTTACTACTTGTAGCTTT